GATACCTGCGCGCTCCAAGGCTGACGCCGCAACGCAGACGCTTTCTGCGGCGGCGGCGCAGACGCTTTCTGGCGCAACGGATTCATGTCTAGCACTCTTATTAACAAAAACAGGGGGTCGCAACTGGACCCCCTCGAGAGCTAGGGGTCGCAAAAATCCCGAAAATGTTCGAACGTGACGGTTGACCCTGGTTCAAACGCTACGCTAGGTGTTAATTGAATTGTTTTTAAAGTGAGAAAAAGGAACGAGTCCGGATCGAGCATCATAGACGCCTTTCCCACTTGGAGACAGGAGGAGTCTAGAGGCAAACAGCTGGTGCCCACAGAACCCGTCGCGCGTGAGAAGCACAGTCACGACGAAGTCCTCAGCGTGTGTGCAATGTAAGGACATCTAGTGGTAATATCTATTAAAGACTTGGCACCGATACGTAGACCACCACGTCGTACTACGACTCGCCCCGCTAACTAACTCTGCCGCGCGACGGGCCTCTTGTCGGGTATCCCAAACGGCCTAACACATTGACGACAGCGTGGTGTTTTGGCTTTTGTGACCACGTGACACGTGGGGCATCAGCTGCTGGGCGGACGCGATTTCTGAGAAGCGCAACCGCTCAACAGCTGACGTCATCTCCGACAAGATGTGCTATTCGAAATTCAACACTGAAAGTGGCGAAACAAAAGTACAAGGAGAGTTGTGAGGGGGAACAGCCGGAGGATCTCCAGGACATCTGTCAACCGTGAGGCTAGGCAATTCAGCGTTTTGTTGTGCTGTCTGGGAGCTCTCACACAAGCGCACTATTACAGAATCTCCGCTTTCTTTACCTCCTTCAAAAGGCTTAGTCCCACTACCACAAAGAACGTCTGCTTTTCCTTCTACACTCTCACCCCCTGGTTGACAGAAGCCTTGTAACCCAGCCGGAGTCGTGACAGGCAGCCTGTCTGCATCCCCCAAGCGAGAGAGATATAATATAAGCGCAAAAATGAAGAGCTATAAACAAGGGAAGACAGTCACTTCAGGGAATAAGAGCAAGGGGAGCGGCTTTTCCAATGAGCTACCTTTTTGTGGTAAAATCCGTTTTCAATGAAAAACCCTCTTAATGATAACCTGTTTTCAGGAAGTCGCGGAATTTGTTTGTGAAAGCGGATCCGAACTTTGATCACGGAATTGTTCAGTGCGTCAATGAATTCGTCTACCAACGAACATATAAGGAGAGCTGCGAAACTATCAACTACATGGTCTGAAGCCGATCTTCGACATGTCGTATTCCATTCCTAGTGCACTTCTGATGTGTATATATACCTCGTCCAGTATTTGACATTCCAAGACGGGCTTCATATTTAATCACTAATTACATGTTGTACCCTTTGCTAGCGTTTCTTTCATTACTGATCTGATTCGATTCAAGTGTATTTGAATTTCATGCCCTCTCTACTGTGTACATATCTTCAGCTCAAATCGATTCACAGCCCTATGCCATAACATGTAATGTTATTGTTGTGGCTAGAGTAACTATTTATCGACGACTTGCCGACGTAGCAACCAGCTTTTCGAGTGTGCACTCCCTTGTTTGTGCTTATCTTATCACGACTTTCTCGTACTTCCATACTCCTTTCATCAACAATCGATGCGGCTCATTCGATTTTGTTCGATAACCTTGTAAATAGCTAATGATTAAATGGTTTTTCAGCTTGCTTTTGTATTTCTGTGTTAGTAGTTATATGTAGTGGGGACAGATGCACGGGTCATGGACAAGGGAAATGATCGCTGAATGCTGGATTCTTCAAAAAATTTGGATTTTTATTACTTGCAGTAACATGGAGCCTTATTCGTGTGATGAGGTCACGCAGGCTCCCATACCCGAGCATTACCATCTTCATCGTCTCCTGAAGTCCAGCTACGGTATCAACCAAGGTCTGCACGATCTATCAATCGGTGTAGTCACAAAATGTTCCTGTTTAGCGGCTTTGGAGGAACTCACTGGCTATGAGGATTGTAATTTTCTCCTGAGCGACATGATCTGGGAAACAGGCACCGGCCCCTCTAGGGCCATTCTGAAAGTTTCCAATCCTCTGGAAGCGAAATGTGATGAAAACATCGGTAGGAGATTTTACTTTCTGAACGTCATCTTCTTAAATCGTGAACGAATCTGATGATATTGAGATGTGCACCTAATCTTGGAGACGATCTACTGATTAAGCTTACTTTGATTCGTTAGCTGTTAGTTGCGATTATTTCGCCCCAATCAAGCAGGCACAGGACCTAAAACTCCTTCTGGAGAAGTCTTCAACATGCAATCCCCCGTTTTGCCTAAACTCCGCTTTTGATGGCATACTTACCACGGCTTCGACGGACGCGCAATTTTTTGGCAAAGCATAATAACTTGAACATGTGGTAGCTAGACAAGTGAAATAGCGGCGTTGGCGTACTCGAGCCAACAACAGGACCCCTGTAGGAAACCTGGAGGATGAGGAGCGCAACGGGACACACCTTGTCTAGCGCGAAATTTAGCTAGAAATTGATTTCCAAAAAACACACTTCTACTCCATCAGCGTCACTCCATGTTTACTCCGTCCTCTGAAACTACTTGTCTTCGTTCCATCCGTTTTTATCCCCTTATTGTGAGAGGGACGGGACTTACAAAACCCATGCGCAGAGGGGGACAGCTTCGTTACCATTGTTGGCATATTACAAGCTGAACTGGTTAAAGGAGAAATGACTCTCAAGTGGGTGGGGGAGCTACACATGAGCTACATGATGAAAACAGCATGTACTAGCGAATTTTTTAAATTGCTGTGAAATTAACTTTTATAAAATTAAAGTCAGAGATCTTAAAACTTCACAGAATCCATGAAAAAATTCTGAAGTTTGTATAAATTTTTCAATAGCTTTTCTTAATGCGACCAACATGTCCTCTAAAAAGCCAAAAACGGTCCCTGTTAAAAATTCTTCGACTTTGGAATGGCTTGTGCAGCGGTAAGTATCATCACAACTTTGTGCAACTTTCTACATATTTCGAGTTTTTGCTCAAAATTTTTTGTAGGTCTCCTACCTATTATCCATTTCTCCTGAAATTGAGGAAATATCTCATTGTTAATATTTTTCAAAACATCGTTTTTTAAAAACCCTTCAGCCTCAACTCTTTTTCGAAAATATTAGGTACCGGATATCTTAGTGTCGCTTTTCTGAGTTCAGGAAGTTTTGGGGCCGATTACCATGGAAAATCAATATCTCAGAAATTCTATTTTTGCTCATTAATACTGCGGAAATTTTTACTACTTTTTTTGAAAATTCCTGGATCCAGTGCGTTTTTGACCCCATGTGGCAAAAAAGACTCCGGAAAAAATTGTCCAGTTGAGCTGGTAAGTTTTAACTTTTCCACCATACACAGTGCAGACCCTACTCTAACTAACTGTATACTTCTTTTGTCCAGGCCTAACTTTTAGCAAGTGAGAGGGATGATTTGTCAGATGATGTCAAAACCGACCTACCTCTCTTTTTCGACTCAAAAAATTCCTAGCTTTAATCGTACGAGGTTTCCACTCATACTGGTAAATGGGAAAGTGCTAATGAGTCATTCGATGAATATGCTGTTTCACTCCCCGGATTCTGAATTAAAATATTGGTGGTCCGAAACTCGCGGTGAAAAAACGACACTAAGATATCCGGTACCTAATAGTTAGCATTCCTCGCACTCCGTTCCAGATTTCCAGATTAAACTCTGCCGTATCCTCAATGAGAAAGGAATACCGTGCCCAACGACCATAAAACGATTGGATGGTCGTGATTGGGCACGTGAAGAGATAGTTGATGGAGGTAAGTGGCAGTCGATTCGTATTATGTATATCTGAAGTGCGTTTCAGCATCGTTATTCTTGCAGTACATCTACCCGTGCGATTGTTCGAAGTTATTCCTGGCTCAAACCTTGAGAATTTCACTTACGACTATGAGGTTGCCAAGCATATCGGCGAACTTCTTGCAAGATTCCACATTATTGCTGATGAATCGAAATGTGAGTTTTGGTAGACTTTCTCCAAAAGACTGTGTTACGTAGACTCTCTCAAAAGGCTGTGTTATGAGTGAAGTGTAGAGCACTTTCCAGTGTTCAGCGGTTACCCATGTTCCTTATATTGCCGTTGAACACAGACGAGGAATTCTGAAAGAGATGGAACTTCTTTTGGAGCGGTCAATCATTTCAAAGGAGAAAGCACAGCTAGTCGCTGAATGTCTAGCGGAGTTCGATGATCGAATCGCGAAACCACGACCATCTGCATGAGACCGGTAAGAAGTTCCCAAGGCTATTTCGGTTTTGATTCATTACCTTCTTTTGCGGAATCTCGCTCTTTGAGCATATCTGACCAGCCATCACACACACACGAGACGTTGAATTGTGGGTGACGGTGGCAAAGTACGTTTGATTCACATTATGAAGCAGACACAAGGAGCTCCCTTACAGAGTTTTGATTGCAGTCAATCTCTATTCAGGGATATAAAATGAATGGAACCGACACCGTCATTGCAAATACACAATGCACACATACATACAATTTCCCCTAATACTATATATTAAAACTTCTTACAACTAGGCAAATTTATCGTTCAAAAAGTTTTGGCCGAACATCGCTTGCCGTTCACAATTTTAGTTCTTTCTTTATAATTTGTGTGAGTTTGAACTGGACTGAAAATTCATAAGGTTTTGGAAAACCTTCTAAACATGGACATATCAAACTAATATATAATATTTCGGGGAGCACAAGGTCCATACTGGCATTACCATCCGACCTACAAAGTGAAAGCCAAAAAAGATGTAGAAAAAAGTCAAGCATGCGCGGAAAAAATGATGGAAGTAGTGTGCGGGGGAACGTATATCGAGCTTGGTCGCAGCATGGCCGTGCTTGGCGATCTTATGTTTTCGACTCTTCGTTGATGTGTAAAAAGTCTTTGGAGGGAGTTATTGGGTTTGGTTCATAAGTCTTTGCAACAAATGACGACTAAAATTTTGACTTTAAATATTTTGATTAATCTTTTTTTGTCCCATTCTTCATCGGTAATTACCCATCAATATCCACAAGGTTTCGACAATCGCCACTTAGAAACTGTTCGGGTGCCCTATTGCTTAGAACTTGCACCGAGTTACTGATTGAAGAAATATTAGACATCGGTTTTGACATCATTATGATTAGGATGAGATTTGTTCTCTAGGAGATGGTCTGAAGCAGGTGGGCATCCTTTGATACGAGGCCAGGTCCATAAGGCGGACATGGGAGAATTCTCCGTCCGAGAGTCCCGAAATTTCTCTGGATTTTCTTAGCAAGAGGTGGTTCGACGGTGCCATAAAAAAGCAAACTTTGCCTTCTTTTTCTTTCGTAAAGCGTTACATTCGAGCTGTGGATAGTTGACTTTCGCGTTGACTGCGTCATGGTTTTCCAGTGCTCAACTCCTCTCGTGTTCCAACCAGAAATCCGGGTAGACCCTATTTGGGCGTGCTAGAACTTTGGCAGTAGGAACTCCGAAAGCGTCAAGCTGTATGTTCGCACACTCTCACCTCAACTTCGGCAAATGCTATGGATGGTCAAGCGAAGAAACCATAGTAAGTCGACTTGATCATGATGGTGTCAAATCGTGTTTGGAGCTGATTCGGGCTCAAGGCGCGTGGAATCCAAACTTTATACATTCGATTCTTAGAAGTCCTTGAAACAAAATGTCACAGTGCTGTCTACTTGTTGCATCAGAATTGCTCTGGCAAATGCATCAGCATCAGTATTCTACTGGCATCAATATTCTACTCAGATCCTTTCAACAGCGTCAGGGATTAGAGATCGTAGTTATAGCTCACAAGGGGGTTGGAGTGTGATCATCTGCAGATAAAAAAATCTTCACCGCAGGGGCAGAGAGCTGGTGCACGGTGAATAGACGGCGGCACGCCTGCCCATCTTTTCTGGCTCTAACCATGACTTTGCGAAGAAGAATTTAGGCAGTTCCTCTCGCTCGTAAGAATTAAGGGCAGGAAGAGGTTTTTGGCGAAACGGTGTAATATTCCCGTAACAAGTAGCGAGACAACGAGCTGGAAGATTGGCTGGAACAGCAAAGGTGGATGCTACCTCAGCAAAGATGTTGCGGGATTTTCGGAGTTCTCACAAAAATTTTCTAATATTAAATGTAATATGTTGCAAGAAAACGTATGGGACCGAATTAATATATATGCTGAGATTGTGATCGTGAAAGTATATGTGTAGGGGGCCTTTGAATTTTTGACTTTTCGCTCTTGATTTTTTGAAATGATCTTTTCATGAATTGCCTTAGAATCTGCCAGCGGACAGGGTTTGAAATTCGCTGGGGCTGTAAACGTAATGGGGCTTGGGAACTTGCTGTCACTTGCTTCTGCGAGGCCCACACAACAGTGGTGTCTGTTTGTTTGGGTATGTCAAGTTTTCGGGTCAAAAAAAGTGGAAAAGTACTGGATTTTGAAAAGCTGCTCGCTGCGTAAAGCCGAGGTTAAAGCTGAAAAGGGATCCCGATGTCCTCCGTATTGAGCTCTAGGTCACAATAACTCGGGTTTAGCCAACATACTTAACCATGCGTTTCAGGCTTGATACACTCCGACATCAACGAAACAAATGTTCTCATGATCGAGAAGGATGGCCAAAAGAAGGTGATCGCACAGATTTTCTTAGAGAAACTTGTTTTTTTGGAAGACTAATCACTCGCCATTATCTCGGCATGAGTATACAATTGTTTGTTGCTTCTGCTCTAATCTCCAAGATGTATCAGGTTTATTCCACTATCGTTCCTGCGCCTCGCCTCTTCGTAGCGCTGGCCCGATGGAAGCATATTTTTGAAACAATTTATCTCGGCCCTTTTACAGATTACGAGAAGGGAAAGCTAAGTGGAAACAAGGAATGAATGATGTCTTCAAACGCTGACCTTTTCAGAGATAAGCCTCCATGACATGATAAACTACAATACATACCTATTAGAGGATGAAGAAGAAGCAATTAGACATTTTCTAAAAAAATCTCAGCAAGTCTGCAGCCGTTCACATCTTACCTAACCCTAAGATCGGTAATTACGACAGCGGTGGAAGTCAAAAGCCGGCGCTGTGAGTTTTTATTATCCTACAGCAAGAAGTTTTGAAATTTGAAGGAAATGATCTCTGATCTGTAATATTCTGTTTATGCATCACCACTGCAATAATTATCACCTTAATCTTCAATTGAACCTATACGTCAATTGAAGCCATTCTACCTATCATCAATTAACAGTAACATATAGTGATATGGCCAGAGGGGTGGGCGCGAGGGGTAGCAGTAAAAATTACATTTTGTCTCCTATTAAACGCATTTAGCTATTTTTTTTGCCTGAGCTTAACCAAATGCTTTCACGTGCAACAGTATGAGGAATACACCCGTTTCACTTGATAATCGAAAAATATACGACGCGTGACCACTATTTCTGACTAAGGGGCATCACTCAGTTGATTGAAACCGGAATGCTCTTACACTTGGAAATTGAAGAAGTACTTGGGTTTCATGACAAAAAACCGTTCATAGCATAGTCCCTCCCCCAAAGAATGCTGGGTTGTGAACAAAACTTTCGCCCCAGGCGGGACTAGAACCCGCACCTCTCGCTTTCCGGGCAAGTGCGCTACCAGTTACGCTACCGGGGCACCATTTCATCCCAACTCAGCTTTTAATCGTAATAACTCTCTAGATCAAAACTTCCTCATATAGTAGTCTTCGTACACGTGGGCCAAACATCAAAAAAAACCTGGGCCGCGGAAGACATCTGCACATTACGCTTGACTGAGCCGGGCCGCGGCTCCACTAAAGGAGTGGTACACCGATTACGACGTTCGTCTGGCAACGCTGGCTTGGACGGACCGTTTCCTCCCTGGAAAAGCCGGTTGGGGGGGGGGGTGCATGGCCTGCTGTCTCAGGAAATCTGTTTACTAGTGAATGGATTGAAGAAATCGGGTTGCAACTATTAACTGGTGCAATTACGGTAGGCATCCTTGAGGTCGACAGCGATGGAAGACGAGGTCATATTCTGGTGAATGTGAGGACGTGAATGGAAATGTGAAAGGGAGATGGTTCCATTTTAGGGCATTTCAGGAATACTTGCACTTTTGACTTCTGTCAACGGCGGCAGACCCGCTCGAAAAGCTTGAGTTGCTAGGCAGGGTTAGATGCAAGAGGTAGCCTCCAACTGCAATAAAGGGTGCAACTTGTAAATTTGCACCTTCTGCGCCCCTCGAAAAATTTATTTTGTTCTCAGATTATGGGCTGCTCGACTCAGGACGTAACATTCTACTGTGCTGTATTTGCATTTATCGGACAAACAAAAACAAGGGTGAGCTGATTTGAAGTTTTTTTTAATTGCATTCAAGCACACGTCAAAAATTCAAAGAATGCCTTTCACTGCGGTTAAATTTGATTTGAAATTTGAGAGTTCAGGTGCCTTTAGTGAAATCATACCACTATTATACTGCTTCACATTTTTTTTCAAATTCCGAACACACCAACGCTTCCATTTCCAGTGTGCCTTCTCTCACAAATGCTGTCCTCGAAGGCTATCGTAGAGTTCGAGAAGCCCCTGACTGCACTCATTTGATCACGCGATGAAGGCTAGGTTGTCGTGCTCTCTAATCTATGGATTGAGGTACGCACCAATATTCTTCACGTGTCCTGGGGCGGATTCAATCCTCCCCAAGGGGTTGGGGGCGAAAATCCCTTTAAATTTATTTGTTTTGAACGATATAGTTTCTTCATTTTCAGTGCATGTTTACTTTGACCTACATACATACATTAAATGTAGGCCCTTTATCAGGACAATCCCAGTTGGGAAGACAGAGAAATTTAAAGGGATTTTCGTCCCCCAACCCTTTGAGGAGGATTGAATCTGACCCCTATCTTTGGAGAATCGATAGCTCTACAAACGCACTAGTGCTTTGGTGATCGGCTACAATTTCCGGATGACGCTTGCACAGCTTAGTGTAGTATCAATTTCAGCGCTATTGGAATTACTTTTGCGTTTATTTTGATATGTGGGGAACGAGGGAGGTTTTATCAACGGGTTTCAGGACAGCTCGAATAAACTTGCGAGGAGGAAATGTTGACTATGTGCTTCGCACGCAGTCGAAACGGTTGGAGTGTCCTACAGGTATGCTCAAATGAGATGTCATCAGTATTTACTCAATGTTTCCTTTATAGGAGCTGCATCATGAAGAAAGGCAAAAGAAAAGTGCGATTGACGACAACTGGGTGTAAGCGAAGAAAAATCGCCCACCTAGGTGATATCCAACAGAAAACCTTCTCAGCCTCGAGACAACTTTAAATATTTTTTCCATTGCTTGTTCCTACATCTTGTAAGCACAAGTATCATCCGTTGATCATATCATACGTGAAATACAGGGAGCAAATCATTGACAGCGGCCGATTATTGTCTGTAACGCCACAGAAAAAACAGGAAGAAACCGTCGATAACGCCAATAATGAGACCCTTTTTAGTAGCATCGAAGCGAAGTAACATCGATTTAGGAGCAGGGTCAACCCTGCGTTGCGCAAATTACAAAATTTTTACGACCCCCTTCCTTTTCGGTCGGCTGA